GGTACAGATGATTGGTAGAATTAACCCAACCTAAGGGCTTGATGATGTTAAGGGAGGTGGGTCGTCTGCCTGATCTCGACCGCTTATTCCCATGCACCAGCATTCAGCTAACCTGGTAAGCGGGCAGGGAACTAAAGCAAAAGAAAGCTATTTACACACAAAAGCGATTTGCTTCTGAAGAAGTAGACAAGCTTTAAAAGGAGGTATCTGCATTTTTTGGGATAGTCTGATTATACCCTTCATCTCGATTAGAGGATTTTGAAGTCTTAAGTGCTGGTAACTGTGAAACAGCTGATCCGATGGTCTTTAGTGAATAGGTGCATGACAAAAAAGGAGAAAAATGGGTTTATGTAGTCTGCCGAGATGAATGCGGTGGTGGGCATCATTCTGCATGTGCCAGCCTCCCTTTTCCACTGCAGTGCAGTACAGTCCCACCTTGTCGTGGCTCTGGAGTGCCACACCGCAGGGATGTGCGATCCTGACACACGGATGGATTTGGTGGGGCTGAGGGAAGCATCGCATTTAGAAATCCTGCCTGTGCAGCCCTCATGTGGATCGCTGTATTCCTTTTTGCCTTGCGTGTTTTAGAAGACGTAAGTCTTTTTAAATGAGACACGAGGACTGCAGTAGCTGTAATCCTGCAGGACCATCCCTGGCGTAGCTCAGCAGCGTTGCCATAATCTTTGCACCCGTTCCCCCTGGAACCATGGTGTGCTCCAAAATTTGGGCTGTTTACTGAGCCAGAGGACTGAAAGAACTGAGATAAGAGTTACCTCACAGGGACATAAATGGATTTGGTGAACTTTGTGGTAGTTACACTTTCAGGTTCCATATCCTTACAGTTCTTACTACTTGGTGTGTTTTATTTAGGCACTGTGCTTTGCACACTGCAGAATCCTAACCTGCATTTTCAGAAAATACTGTCAGATCTTTCCACAAGCTCAGAGCAGGGAGTAGTAAGCACCAATATTCTTTTATTTCTGAGTTTCTGGTTTTGCTCCCTCCTTGACACCCAACTTCTGATTAGGTCTTTCCCCTTACTCTAATTTTCTCATTCCACTCACCTTTTGCACCCTTGTGTTTTTATTTCTCGTGTTTCTGTTAACTTGCACTTGATCACTCTCATTTAGGAGAACTCAGTGCTGCAGGGTTTCTGCTCCCCACCTACAGCTACTTTATTTCCTACCTCTAATGGCTGTAGAGTTGTCCCTCCTTGGGATGCTCCATGCTTGCTCAGCCTGCAGTGCAGCGCGTACACAGAAATACTTCTTGGGCATGGCTGGATTTTAAACTTGCAGAAAAAACTATTCCTTTCATTTCTTCCACTGGCTCTTTGGAAGGAATTGGCTAATAATCCTTATTCCATCAGGATCTTGTGGTTTTTGTTCTGTCTTTACTGGGACACTGGAAATACAGGCAAACACAGAGCTTTCCATTAGCTTTGTCATTTCTCCAGGCTCGGCGTTGTGCAGCAGTGCTAGCGTTAGAGATTAGGGCTTAGTCTGTGGATTCCCTGGTCCTAGTCCAGTGTCTTCATTTCTACGGCGTTTGCAAGTTGTGCTGTGAACTACAAAGGGGTTCAGAGAACTTTGGGACAAGTGTAGTGTATTCCAGGCCTGGTTCATGTTTCGATCCATCAGATACTCCTTCAGATTACATTGATGTTATTGTAAAGGAGTTCACAACAGACATGGTCAATGAATGCACCACGTATGGTCTGGGTTCTGAAGGAAACAAATGCCAAGAGGGAGAAGTGCAAGCACCACCAGAGTGCGTGTGTGGTGAGATCAGGAACAGGCGTTGAGGGGGCCTGTGAAAACAGAGCGTGTCTTTCTTTTGTTGCCTGTGTCTGCTTTCCTGTGACCGAGGAAAAAACCATGATGAACTTAGTGTAGTAAACGTAACTCAGCAGTCAGGTGTTTTCATGGTAATACCGTCCATCCAAACCCCAAACACTGCTACTCATCTTCCAAATGCAGAACAGCTCTGACTTGCACATCCAATCCCTATGCAGCAACTGCCTGCAGTACACCTACGGTATAATTACCTGCTCTGTCCTTTGGCAAACCAGCACCTTCCCCAGGAACTTTTTAGTGTCCAGTTTGCATTGGGCACGCTTCCACGTGCACAGCATAGCCTTTGCTGCCCACAGGGGTTACAAAGCACGTTCAGTTGTCTTACACTTGTTCCTGCTCCTGCCTACACTTTCACAATGATCGTATTTTCCAATACTCAGATAGAAACACTGGCAAAATGGTGGTAGAAGCAAGTAAAGGACCAATTCCATTCACAGGGCTACTGCCGTGACAGCCTAATGCCATGCAGGTCCTGGTGTGCAGCTGGCAGGGACATGCTCTGCAGATGCTTTTTATGTGAAGGAATGAGCATGATGCATGGATACAGGTCACTCCTGTTCCCGTTCACTTTGCTGGGAACAGGTCTGACTGCAAGTGTCACAAAACACACGGGTACCAAGAAAGTAACTTTCAAAATTGCGTTTAAATTAAGACCTGAAGTTAAGAGTAAAGAGCAGTGGCTGCAGAACATTCTTTTTGCATAAATGCATTATGTGGGTACAGGGGTGGTATGAAATTATCCAGAATGACATTTTCCTCTGGAAATTGCCTCTAATAAGTGTTCAATATAGGAATATAGAAACTTTTGAAGTAAACTGGCTACTCCTAAAACTGGAGAGCGCAGTAGGAACAGTTAAACAGCCTGCTGGGGGACAGGATTAAATGTGTGTGGTTTCATGTGTAGTTGGACCAAAGCTGAAAGTCTCCAACCTACCCCATGTTCTCTCAAAAGATGGTAAGGAGTGTGCTCAAAAATAACCCCAGACTCGTCAGATTCTTTTGTCTGCTGTGAGGTTGTAGAAGAGCTCAGCCTTGGAAAGTGAGGCTGGCTTTTTCTGTGTTAGCCAGACATCCCCAGCAGAATAATACTCCTTAGTGAAAGGAGATTACTACACCTTGGAGATGCAACACTTGCAGTTCAGTTCCTCGTAAACAGCAAATACCACCTGGGGGGCTTAAAGGTCTCAGACCTTTTAGGTAAAAGGACTCCAAAAGTAAAACAGGAAAATATTTTGATCAGTCAAGTGATCAATGCCAGCAAAGGGTGATTCTGCCTAAGTTCATTCAGAGCACCTCTAGATACTGAAAAATATTGAGGGCTGAAGTCTACTAAGAAACGTTTTCTTACACCCAAAGAGCTAAAAATATCCAAAGTAGGTAAAACCCAAACTGAACCTGCTTCCTTCCAAAGCCAAGAAGCCCTTTGGAAAAATTACCTTTCAGAGACATCTCATGCTGGGCAGCGCAATGCCCAGGGCAAGAGAGGAATCAACCACATGTTCTACAGTCCTGTGTGTTAAAAAGGGATCCTTTTCCACAGCATCTCACATCCTCAGGACAGAAAATCATCCGTGCTATTGAACAGCCTCTCAGCAGTCACTGGGGAAGCTTCCTCCAGCACAGTCCTGTCTGGGGAGAGAAAGGGAGCCCTGGGAGCCATTGCTGTGGTCTCAGATCTATAGGTACTGCTTGCTGCCTGTCCAGGGGAAAAAAATGTGCAAGAACTTGAGTTTGACATTTTATTCACCCTTTCCTATGGGCAAGGCCTCTCGCAGGCCACGCAGAGTCCTAGACGGAAGCGTTAGTTGCACTGTCACTTTAATCTGGCACATGTGGCAGTGCTGCTCAGTCACCTCTCCTTTCTCTGCCCTCACTTTCTTATTCCTTATGCTGGAACAAGCATTTTTCTACCTCCATAGTAAACTGATCTGTATTAGAAGTGACACAATTTCTTTAGTTTTGTTTACTGCATCAGCACTGGTACTTGTGCCAGTGCTTTTTTGATAGCACTGCTGTTTATTCATGCTTGTTACACTGCAATTCTACTTCCCACAGATTCAATTCCAGAAAGTAAGGGTGAAAATTCTCTAAGTACAGTTTTGTATCGCTGAGGAGGCTGCTTTCCTGTGTCCACAACACATCAACAGCACTGGTAAATATTAAAATAGGAAGCCTGTACATGGTTGCTCAAAAACTGCAAATTCATCGTGGCTTTCTGCATACTCATTTATGCAGACAGGCCCAAAGCTGCCTGCATGGAACAGGGCCAAAAGACTTTCTGCTAAAAAACACAAGTGTACAAGAAAGTACCTATCAGTGGTTTAACCCTTATCTTCAAAACCACCTTGAATACAGGGCTGGAGAACACACTCGTGCAGACTGGGTAGAGAGCCAGCAATGCATTTGTGCACCCCCTACACCCCATCTCCTGGAGGGTGAAGGAGCAAAGTTCTCATCTACCACAAATCGTCCCCTCCACACACCCCCAGAGAACAAGAGCCACTGGTTTTAGTTTCTATTGCTCCATCTCCACAACAAAGACAGCTGTGCAGATGCCACCTCTGATGGCAGCAACCAGCACCAGACCCTTGGGTCGCTGTCCGTGGGGCAAATTTCAATTCATACCACCAGAATTGCAGGGAATAAAGTTGATATTTACCCAGTCAGAAAAGGCGCTGGGGAAGACTTGACAATGTTTTCCACAGAGTAAGAAAGTGAGATAAAGTCTAAGAGAACAGTTTCTATTATGTACTACAGGAATATTTTTATACATAAAAGATGCCAGTAAGAAAATTTCACACCTTTAGTTCAAAATTAAAATTCTTACATAAAGTGAAAAAGTTCTGAAGAAAGGGTTTTTCATTACTATTAAAAACCTCCCATGTCGTAAGCAAACTCAAAACTGTCGACCTTGTACCTCAATGCTTTTAAATGGAGAAACAACAGATCAGTTTGCTGCCTTTATTCCAGTACAGTCTTCAGGCTGGCAACACAGGAAAAAGCTTCATCTGCATTATCCCATTAAGATCAGCCGCCTGTAAAGCCAAGGAAAGTAAGAATGCTTCTATAGCTACTTCACACTAATCAAAATGCACGTACGTTCATACATGCAAAAGAACTTGGCAAGAACTGCTAAAAACAAACTGATGTTGTAGGGTTTAATTTCTTCCATCTTCAAGAATCTACAATTATAAAAGTCTCATCTTCAAACTGTACAGTACATTTACATTAGCAAACACCCCACAGCTTTCCTCACTCCACCACTCCTGTACAAATTATATACAATAAAGTTTTGGGGTTGTAATACAATTATCAGTTTACACTTCAATACAGATGAAAATATTGTCCTCTGGCACCTCATTTCCTTCATGGCACCTGTGTATTACAGTACAGAGCACTTCTGACCCATGCCTCTGGAATCTTCAGCTCAGGTAATATGGACTGATGGACAGGCCACAGCTTCTGCTACTCCAAAGCCTTAAATAATGAGAAAATCTACCACTTGTTTGTATAACAATCAACAGTTTATTAATGGATATGGTGAAATTTCAGCTATCCACCAAAGATGTGTAAAAAATTGTCATGAAAGTAAAAATAAATAAAGCTGTTTTTAAAATCAGTCTTGTTTTACATCTCAGTTCAGAATGCAACATTTAACACAAAACTGTCATTAAAGTTTTAAAGAAGTCTACCGATATTCAAATTACAGCTTTTATGACAAATCTAATGAGAACTGAAACTGATTTGGTTTTAGGTTTAAAGACTTTCACATTCAAATACAGTGTCTCGTTTAGCACAATACTTCCTTTGACAGTGATGGGCAACAGTGATGACATATTGCTGTATTTTGACATAAGGCACTATGATATGAATATGCCATACACTTGCCTTATGTCACATATATCCATTGCTGACCAGTGACTTCTGTCAAATACAAAATGAAAAAGTTTCAGAATACAGTGCATTTTAATGAAGGACATCATGTGAAGTCTTCCAGCAAATGTTTTGAAGACATTTTGAAATACAAGCCTACATTTTAAAATAAGCTTTTGTCATGCTGCTTTTTTTGCGACATCACTGGGGGGGAATAGACTCGGCATCCATCACTAAGTCCCAATACACATTCTCAACCATCCTGCTCTGTTCTGTTGCAGTCACTGTTCTTGAGACAAACTTGACCCAGAAACTTTGTTCAAGTTCTCCTACAATCGCGTGTACATTCACAGCAGTCATTCACTTTCGTTCTCCTTTTGTTTGGCACCTGTTGACAGAAGAGGAAAGCACACATGATTTCCTTATGCACATAGCACCTGGATTCTGAATGCTGCAACTTTGACCACGTTATCAAAATCTCAGTACCCGATATTATTTATAAAGAACATGCTGCAGGATTGCTAAATGCTAATGTGAACAGAGTGAAGGAGGCCTTGAGACCATTACTGCTTCTAACTTCATTGGCAAGGTAGTGTAAGTAACTCTTCTGCGAAGTTACTAGAAATGGCTTGGAAGATTCTCCCCAGCACAAACATTTATTAAAAAAAAACAAATAAAACACCAAAAAGCCACACCCCAAACCTGTCCATCAGCTTCAAAGCCAAGTCTAATCATTGTAATAGCCTCAAAAAATGGAAGTTCTGCTTGAGAATAAACTATGTAAGAATTCAGTTTAACTGCGCTGTGTTGATGGACTCATTTTTCCTGGCTCAGAGGCAGATTTTGCTCACGCAGATCTGAGAGACCTGTTCAGCAGCACTGTAGAGCATCTTGCCTCTTCTCCAAATACTCAAACTGGCCACATGCTGGGCAACAACTGAACCCTACGGTGAGTTTGGCTTCAGCATCCAACTCTAGAGAGCAGGAGTCTCTTGCCAGCAACCTGGAGTTACCACTTGTAACGTATAATCAAACACTGAAAAATTCATTAAACACATCCAGTTTTCTCATCACAACTGATGCTTTTCTCCCTGAGTGTAAGCTGGTCTCAATTTCTGCAGTCAATAAATTTTCCTTTCTAGTTTGTGAAGAGAAATGGACAGTTTTAGGGTATGATTTATCTGGTCATTCTTACATACCCAGTTTCAGAGGTAAATTGTTCTCTAGACTCTACAAATTAGATCTGCATTGCAGACATCCTCACTTCATGAGACAAACGCCAACCTAAAATTGCACAGTTGCCTGTGGAACTGCCATCTAACCCCTAACTGCTCCTAAAAAATATCTTCCCTCACCTCATCTCTTTCAGTGGCACAATCCTGCCCGTCTGCTCTAACTCCTGTACTCACCTAGGCTCTTCTGTGAGCACCAAACTGAAAACTCTGCAGCTGTTTTGCTGGCTCAGTTTCCTCTCAGATCAATGAGTTAAAGCAGCTCACAGAGGGACTTCACGAGCATCGGTGCTGCCACACACTAAATGCCAGAAGCACATGGCCCAGAGTGTGGAAACAGGAACTGCCCTTTTTAATTACAGAGCACTGTTATCAGCAGTGCAACGTCAGTGGCCACATAATTCCAGTGCAGCAAAGCTCTTAGTTTGTCAGGATCCAGACTCACCTTTGCTGTCTAAACTTTGCTCCATTAATACTGAGATCTGCCCTCCTTGGATCCTTCTGCCCTCCAGCCAGGGGGGAAGCTACCTCCTCTGCCTGGAGAGGCACCATCAGCTCATCTTTACATCACCCTCTTCAGAGGGACATCTACCCCTCCATTCTCTTCCCAGGCAATGAGCCCATCTGACCCAGGGCTGATTTCTCCTGCTCATCCATACCTTGCACAGAAAGCTGGGTTACTTGCTCTTCCAGCTCATTAAAAGGAACCAGATGCACTGACATAATACTTCCAGCAGTATCACTACTTCTTTTCAGAGGAGAAAGCTTACTATCTTAAAAAGCTACATTAACTTCTTTAAATCTACAGAGGAGAAAGACTTACATTATTGAGTTATCTATCAGTGCCAGAGATCCCAGTTAAGTTCAGATTTAGGCTTTCTTTGAAGGATGTATACAGCTCTGTTTGCTTAGTCTGATTTTTTTTTTTTTAGGCAAAGCTGTAATCCTCAAGACATTTTATTTTGCCCTCCTCACAAAGCCAAGAGAGCTTTGCTTTAGTTGTTGTGACACTGAAGAAGTAATTTATGTCGTCAAACTCAAGGTACAATTAAGGACATAAAGCAAGTTGGTAACTCAGGCAAATCTTTAAAAAACCCCCACCAAACCACCTTTCCCCCAACCAACATAAAAGTAGTGGAAATAAACCTGCTGTTGGATACTCTGTGTTAAAAGGAGTCTCATCATGTTTGTAATACGCTAGAGATTTCTACTGGAATAATTCCGGTGGTTGGGGTGATGTCTCTGAGACAGCTGTGCCAACTGAAACCCACAGCATAGTCAGACAACTACAGGGCTCCGAGGAGGTGGTTTTGCAGAGCTCGGGGAAAGCACAGCTGTGTCCACACTGGGAGTACTTGGCCAAGAGTACAGAAATTCAGGAAGGCGGGGAAGGCGCCCTGTTGCAGATGTAGTCTCTACATGCAACATTCAACTTTACCTTGTTTTTCCTGTTAAAACATTAATCAAGACCTTTTTGTCTAAAAAGAAGATATATGAGCAGCAACACCATTCAAGAAGCTTCTGCAGGCATTCCTCAGTGAGCAAAACACTGACAGTTACTATTTTGTCAGCTTTTTCGCCCAAAGAGAAATGAAAAGTGTGTTTAAGAGCTATGATCAAACAGTTCCAAAAGTTGAAAATCAAAAGTTTGTCATTGCCAAATAAATTAAAACCAGCAGCTTGTACACCAAAAAACTCATGGCAAAGGTCAGAAGGCAACATCCATACCTGCTGGTGTGAGTACCAAAGCTTGTAGGATGTCAGAAAGGGAGATGATACCCACGATGCTATCAGCTTCATTCACTACCACCAAACGATGAACCTGCAGCAGGGAAAATATTTTGAGAGATATTTGCCTGATTTAAAATAGCTAAAGCAAAGAACAAAAGCAATCTTAAAAGTAATGCAGTATAAAGACAAGTAGAAAAAAATAGTTCAAGAGGTTAGCAACAGCAATCTCACACAGCAATACAAACACGTTTGCCCTACATAAATACAAACTAGTACATGTTTAAAAAGCACACAGCTATCTGACATGGCAACAAATTCAGATTTCAAGTGACAGCTAAGCCAAGATACAGGTCTTTAAAATACTTCTGCTCTCAAAAAGTGGCATTCACATAACTTTTCCTTAATTTACAGGCACTGTCCAACTCAGCCTGCTATCTTGAAAAAGACAAGACAGTAATAAAATGAGGCTTCCTTCTGAAAAATACTTTCTCAGAGAGGCACAGCACTAAAACTTGTTCTTCGCAATAAGACAGAAAAAGAGATTCAACTTATCTGTGCATACTGTAGAGTTTAAAACACATGGATGCAACTTGGAAGGAAGGTTTGTCAAGAGTAAGACTGTATTTTTAAATAATCAACTTATCCTTACAGGTCTATTCTAGAAAACGTTTTATGCTACAAAATGTTTGTCCTAACTGTAGTTGGATGCTCCTATATCCTCAGGCTCATCAGCCAGAGTTGCCTAGAGCAGTTCATTGATAAGTGATCCTAGAAAGAGTATTTGACAAAAGCCGAGTGCCTACTACGCATTTACAATTTTGCCAAGTGAATTCTCTCTCTTCACAATTTTAAGGTCACATAATCAGATGGAATGGTCAAGAAAGTGAAAAGATGTTTTCTCATCTTCTCACAGAGACAATAGCAAGAAAGCTGCATCAGTTTTGATTTAATAAATATGTTAATTTATGGTTGAGGTCAACCATTTCATTACTTGTCAGACAGAAGAACAGAGGAGCTCTGAATTTTCTGAACAGCCATACCCACCTGACACAGGGAAGGAATAAAGCAATTGGGGAAAGGAGAGAAAATACTGTTGCATTTTCTTTTTGATGAAACTATGCTGGTGATATTTTAGATGGGTTATTAATTTTTAGTATATGCTCATACTTAATTTCTTCTCTCAGTGTAATGAATTCAAGAAAAACAGACAATGTAATTGTTTTATTTCCAGTAAGATCCAGCACTTGTCTGGCAGCTAGAAATAGCTTGTAGTTTTGACTGACTCATTTTTACATATAATCTCACTATGTTTAGACAGAACCAAAGGGTAGGAGTTGTTCTTAAAACCCAAATGTCTAAAGCTGCTTAAGATAGCAATAAAATTATCCAAATTTGAAATCTGTATATCAGGAATACTAAAATGATGCCATTTCAGGAAGAAAAAGCAAGCAGATGCAGAAAGTTACAAGTAAAAATTGCCTAATGGAGGTTTGAAGGGGTTATTAAGAAGTGGACGCTTTACTCATCTCAAGTATATGCATGGTTACAGCCCTGAAGATGGAACAAACAATCTTGCAATTGAAGAAGTTGAAGTATCTACATGGAGGTGCTCACACCTCGGAGGCAACTGAAACCAATTTTCTTCTGCAGAGAGGTATAACGGGAGAGGACCTACCTACTCCTTCACCCTCCTGTACAGGAGAGTTCCCTGTGCTAACACACAAGATGAACAGCACCACAAGAACGGAAAGCACACAAATAAATCATTTACAAGAGCAGTTGGTGAAGGCTTCTTCATGAGAATTTATTTTTTGGCCCTGTTTCACAGCATTTGTATGAGAGCAGTGCAGGACTCTGTATACATTAACTAATTGTACCCATTACATTTCCTGACCAGTAGCCCAATGAACCTAGCTATAAGCTGGAGTTTAACGCATCGTCTGCAAAGCTTATGGCAAGTTTAGAAGAAATATGATTCTTTCAAAAATGCTTTGCATTCACCTCCGTTAATACCAAACAGAAATGCCAATAACCAAGTATTATTACAGATGTACTGTACAGTATTTTGCACTTCCCTATAAGCATCTAAAAGCTACGTCCGTAAAGCAAACTGATACAACACATGTAATTATGAAAAGAAATACTTTCACCAAGTAACCAAAATAACTTAAAGGATAAATGTGTATTATGTATTAGTTTGGTAATACAACTTCTAACTTACAGTGAAGGGAAAAATAAAATCCAACTCACCTCAGCCTTCACTATCCTATCCACAATGGTCTCCAGTGTTTCCAGCATACTACACTTTACAACACCTTCAAAATACTGAGAACGGTGCTGTAGGGCTTGCGTCACCGTGATATCTAGGTTATTATATGTTTTTTCAGCAGCAAGATTCTGAAAGAAAAACCAAACAGAATGCATATTAACACATCTCAGCACTTAGTAATAATGTACTCATTAAAGTAAATATTTTGGCAACAAGTAGATACATATTCCTTGTCAATGGAGTTTGTTCCAAGTTACATATTAAGGAAAGCAGGTGCTCTTCAGCTTCAGTTTTTGGGAATAGTCAAGCATGCGGTTATGTTAAACACCATGACAGTCTGGGTGACTTGATAAAACTGTTCTGTGATATGCAGTAGGCCAATAAAAGCCTCCTTATTTTGCTATCTGATACTTGGCTTGATGTCACTCATTCTGCTTTTGCCATGAGTAGAAAATATTTATATTTTAGAACACAGAGAATATACTTTAGGAATATACAATTTTTTGTTGGTTGCTTTTCATAGGATAGAGGAGGACACCAACTGCTCTGAACACCACCCACCAAGTAGATCTTACTGGAGAGCTAAGAAGAGAAGAAATTAAAGGTTTTCTCCCCTTTTCTTATTTGTGGGCTCAAACTCCCTCTCCTGGACTGTGCTGGCACTGCCACTTGACAGCAACTTGTGTCTATATTAAACATACACACACACACACACACACACACACACACACACATCTATCTATATATATATTTTCTTTAATAAGTACTATAAAAATAATGTAATTGAAAACTCATCACCAGCACTAAAAGTAAGATTAAAAGAGTTTGAAAGCTGACATTCTCAACTTTCATTTTAAGAACAGAACTATGCCTGCAGCAAGAAGACTTTGTTGAGACCAGCAAAATACTTGTAGGCAAGACCATAGTGATATTTTGATAGCGTTGGCACATCCTGGCCCATTGATTTTGAAGGAAGAACAAAGACCTTTAAAATGAAAACACTGGACCAAGCAATAAAGTTAAATTGATTTTTAGCTAGAATATACAGTGACTGATCAAGTTTTTGGATTAAATTACACTGAATGTGACAAGATAGGTTTGAGATGATCATGAAGATACAAGCAGTTTTCGTTAACTCATTTAATGAGCTCCTAGTGAAGGACACAAGGAGAACATAAAAAGCCTCCGCAAACTGAAGTCACCCTACCCACAACAGTGTAAACAAAGCGACTTCTGTACCATCACACCATTCCCAGGTTTCTCCCATCAAGAACCTGAAAATGAATTCAGAACTGTATTAAAATGAAATAAATTGATGGACTTAGCCAGATGTACACACAGGCATAGCTTAAAATACTGATTTAAGTTTATTAGCCCCATGGTTTAATGTTAGAAATCACCAGTTGAATCTTCCAAATTCCATGCTTATTAGAAGACCGGATTATACATTTTTGAATTCTATTTTTCTTCTTTTAAAGACTGAAATTAGGTTGAAGCAGTCTGATGAAAAACTGGATGCCTGAGAGGTGACTATCTTTTAAAAACAGAAGGTAGCAGGCAAAACAAATGAAATATTACTTCTCTTCAAACTGCTTTATTGTAAAGATACTGAAGAGTACATCCACATCCAAACCGAGATGAAGTTCAAGGATGCCATACCACCAAGAATTAACTACCTTCCTCTTCCCCTTCCTCCCTGTTTAATAAGCAAACCAATATATGTGAAGAAAATCTCGAATAATTGCTAGATGCCCTAACTCCTTCCCACATTAGTGGCTGGAAGCAAACAATTATAACCTGAAGCCACTGTGATATTTCTGTTTTCTTTTTCTTTTTTTCTGATCCAAATACATCGTTTTTCCAAAGAAATGATCCAGCATCTCTAACAATCCTGTAAGTTTTCTTGCCTCATTACTTAAAATGAAAAAAGAAAAGAACATAAGGAAGCCTCTTCCTTTTGGTGTCTTCCTGAAAGAGAATGGGATATATAGCAAATGTCTTGCCTCAAAGTCTAATGCAGTTACAGAATAAATTGAAACACTGAACCCACCAGCTGTGAAATGTCATTGTCGTTGGTACATTAGATCCCTCACTGCAGCTACAACCTATTCCCTGAGCAGCTTTTATGACAGAACAGGATCTTGCACGGTAGAGAATCCCAAGGAACAAAACCACAAACTCCTAGAAAAGGCAGGCAAAACCACTGAAAATTTCACAGTGTCACTATTAAGACCACAGTTTGCAGCCAGAGATATTTATAAGCGTGAAGTATTTTCATTTGGGACTGTTCTCCATATTTCTGAAAGCATTCTACACAGCATTCCAGACATATGGTTTCTTCATTAGCACTAGCCAGAATAAGCAGCTTGGGCACTTAAATCTCTAACAAATAATATAGCTATAAGAAGTTCCAATAAAAGGCAAGTGCATACAGCTGGGAGAGGACAGGGATAAAAAAAATAAATCTACAAATATTTTTCAAGTTTCTGAAGACCACAAGAGTAGAAGAGCCCCTGCTCTCCAAGGTTGACAAATCATGGCATGAATCTGACTATGCTGCTGCATTCCTGAGGGAAATCCAGAAAGAGTGGCCTGAATTAGCTCTAAACCAGAAGGAATTCAGATGCAATAATCAGGAGTCAGAGCCTCGCACAAAAGAATGGGCCAAGTAGTTTTAATTCACTGAGGAGGTCAAGTCGTACAAAGCACCCAGACTGCGTGAAGAAATCCGCGTTCTCTTTGAAGACAGAGCATGGAGTGGCAGCGGCTGGGAAAAGAGTTCAGTCTCAAAACCAGAAATGAACATTAAAAGCCTATGCCCTCTTTTTGTAATAGTCCAGCCAGATCTAATTTTGGGTAACATCCAGAGCAGTAGGTGCCTGTATGCAAGTAGTATTACCAAGGATAGTTTAAATAAAAAATAGTAATTAAAAAAATGCTGTGCAGGGTGAATGGAATCTGTGTTACTCAGTTTGTTAACTAAAGCCTAAGGAATAAAAGAGCCAAAATAGACATATTAACAAATTAATTTGCAAATGTTTACTACATATAAAATATGTAATAGTTTTTAAGAGATATACTTACTATTACATCAAATTTGGAATAAATATCTACAACTTTTCCTAAAAAGAAAAACAAAAGTTAATAAAGTGCTTAAAATAAAAAATCAGTTTTCTTGCTTCCTGCTTTCATTTGTTATCTTGTAACTACACAGAAAGCAAACAGGTCAAGAATGAAAGATGGAAAAAACCAAGAACCCAACAAACCATGAAGGTCTTCCTAGCCTATCAACCTACAGCTTGTACAAATATTTCTTTTCATTCCCTTTCGCTATTTTTTTTTCAATTCTTTCTCCTCTTTCCCCCTCTCCCCCACCCTCCCAAATCAATCCAGGGTTCAGCATCATTTATTTTACCGTACTTTTATATACAGAAGACCCAACACGCACCCGACTCATCCACAACAGGTAATGCCGATATCCTTCTCTCTACAAATATATTCAAGGCTTTAATGATAGGAGTGTCTGGATGTATGAAGGCAATGTTGTGGTACGTTCCTATTCCAAGTTCATCCAGATTCTTCTTCATAAAGGCAGGCTTTGGCATCTCTGACATCTAGGAAAGTCAGAATGAAGGTATTTACAGTGCAGTTTTCTACACCTACCATGGTTCCATATGATTGGTTTATACATTAGGAAAGCTGTATTCACTCATCCACCTACAGGTCCCAAGTGATTGTTACCATCTGCTGCCAGATTAATGTAAAGCCAAAACAAGCTCAGATCTAGAAGCATTACTTCTGTTTGAAGAAGTTCTACATTACCTGAGTAAAGTTTTTTTTGCTCATTTAGTTACTTTTGTAGTAACCCATCAATAAAAGCTTTTGATCCTAAGCTGTGTCACTCCCACTGAAACTGGAAAGAGACGACAGCAAAACATACTGCACACTGAATGCTTGTTTTGAACTCCTGTTGCTTTGTTTGGCCTCCCATTCATTCCTGCAACTAACACAGGCTACAGTGAGCAATGGTAATCTGGTCTCTGGGAGAAAATGCATTTTTCTGTTCATATCAACAAGCTTCTGAAGCCAAGCAAACTACTCAAATAGCCAAGACAAATCCTTGGTGTTTAGGTTTCTTTAAATGACTTAAGCAAAGTAAAGGTAATGTACAGGTACTACATCAAGCTTTAATTTCTTTGTTAGCAAAAGAAAAAAAACACAGATACAATGAATATGGAAGTTTATAAAGAAGTTTTTGTACTAAGACCTAAATTACTTAAAGATGTCTACATGGAAGGGGAAAATCAGGTAAGCAAAGCGTAACTTCTAATACTTACAAAAAGCTGGAGGAACTTGAGGATTCTTTTATGGGTAAGTATATAAAGTGCATTTCCACTGACGGGATCTATAACTGGCAATCTGTGGATTTTGTTTTTGATCAATGAATATACAGCATCAAAAAGGCTGAGGAGAAAGAGATTAGTCTGGGATTTTAATCTAGCTGACAGTGAGTAACATGACATGATATATACACACATTTACAAATGCTCATGAAATACATATCATGAGTAATTATTTGTATTATCTTTAATGCCATGGAAAAACAGAAGTTAAATTAACTTAAATTAGTTAAATTTCAAATTCACTTTTGCAGTTGGTAAAACATAATGATATGCTCTGAACATCTAAAACCAGTAAGAAAATGCGATGGATCAGGTCTTAGGTTGACTTGCTGTACCCTTTCATACGTATCCTACTGCATCTTCTTTACTGCAGTACTGCATTGTCATGAAATGAACGTGACTTGCAGGTTAGCTTGAAGGGTCATCATGGTGCCTTTTTTGCATATTTTTAGCAATTAACTTCGATCGATGTCTAGTTCATTTACCAGAACAGTTACACTGATGAAAGACAAAAGTTATACTGAATATTCTCTTCTTTGGATAATTAAAAAGTCCTCACTCACAATAAAAAGCTCCCTGACCTTCCTGATTATACTAAAGGACAGTTCTCCATTATTGTACTCTAGTTTACAATAGAAATTGGTTTTCATTCTACAAAGAAGTCTTAAATTCAGTATTGAGATGGAGTTAGTTTATCTCCAGTTAACCAGACTGAAAATCGAAATCCTACCTTGCATCTGGGGAGATGTTCACTAAAGGTTTAAACGTCTCTTGTAAATAGAGCTCTGTGTATAGAAAATCAACAGACCATTACCACTTTATAGAAAAAGCTAATGTTTTCATATGAAAGCATTTTATGAATTCCTTCATACAAAATTAAGTGGAAGAAAGAGAGCAATATCTGCAGTTACTTTAGATACTCTACTAATGCACATTCCCCTACACCAACATTAAAAATACAAATTTTACGAGCGGCACTAAACCGATTACCACCAGGGGTCACTGCAACAACAGCAAATAACTCCACCAGCTCCTCTTCTGAGAGGGTCTGCTGCACAGAGTACTTCTACATATTATTTCATGGCATATAGTCTGTTTTTGACATAAAGCTTCCTCCCTGCATTCAGCATTTCTGTTCACACCCAGCAAGTTTTATGAATATCTGGTCACATCATGCAATTCACTCAGACATAGCTTGCTGCTCATCCATCAGTTCACTCAGTAAGGTCATCTATTCATTCTGCATCCTGGCTCAGATACATTTTCACTCTCCATACATATACTCATCAACTCTACAGCAATACACACCGCCTTACTCCACTTTTTTTTTTTCTTTCTTAAAAAGCAAGATGGTGCTAACCATGAACAAACAGCAAAGCAGTATATAGCCCAGATCACTCTAGTCAACATATTTCAGGTAGAAAATAAGTAGCAGGAGCAAATGGACAAGCTTTTACTACTCCTGCTTTTGTTAAAACATACATGGAGAGAGGCAAGCTAAGTCTATGATTAATTAAAAATCCACGATACTGGAAAACATTAGAACATTTTAAGTTATCAACCATGCAGTAAGTGTTCTTACCCCTCCAGGTTTCTATCTTGTGCTCCTCCAGTTCATAAATCTGAACCTACAACAGGGAGATGAAAAGTTTAGCTTGAAGTATTAATTTTAACCCCCAAATCATTCATAATGTTATAAATAGCTGAATAATTTCACCTTGTGAAACCCTTGTGGTCCCTTCCAACCTGGTATTCTATGATTCTGTGACTATGAATTTCCTTACATTTCAATGCAGGCAATCGAACAGAGTAGGAACAGTCTAAAATAACATTTCTTGGCAATAACAAGAGGAAAGGCTGCAATCCTGCTCAGTGCAGAGTACCCAACTGGACCTGTCATTTCAGGGAACAGGAAAGATCTTTTACCTGCCCAGGTTTTGAGCCTAAAACAGATCTAGACTACGAGGCATCTCCTCAGTAATTTCTCACCTTCAAATAATCGCATCAGAGTAAATCCTCTGATGACTCCCCACACACCCAAACCAGTAAAAAGCTTACCCTGATCACTTGAATTCTTAATGCTAAGAGATTAAGTTTACTGATCTTTTAACTGCCCAGGTTTTGAGCCTAAAACAGATCTAACACACACCCAAACCAGTAAAAAGCTTACCCTGATCACTTGAATTCTTAATGCTAAGAGATTAAGTTTACTGTTACTTGATCACAAACAAGAGCACTTGGTTTAGTGGTATCCCCTCTCCAAATTTATTGGTTTTGGACACTGCATCTAAGCCATGCATGTTCTCAGCATTTCCTCTATACCAGCAATATTGCCCATCTGACCTGAGTTCAGCTGGTCCCAGGAACCAAACAGGCCCAAAAGTTACAAAAATATTGTCAGTTTTCTGCTGGGTTGGCTCCTTTAACTGGCTCACCGAAAGGACAGGCAAATGATACTGAACAAAGGATGCGGCAAGTCTGCACCTTTTGATGGCAGCTTATCAGCAATAACATCAAACCACCCTCAAGAGCCCAGTCTTTGAAGTTTAAAAACAAACAAAAAAACCCCAAGAGAGGTACGGTCACATCACCAACTTCCTGCTGTTCAAAGTTCTTTGTCAGAAGACTGCACAACCTCCCTACAGCAGCTTCTTCCATCCTGCTGATGGCTCTCAAAAAGCATTTCAGATGTGAAAGCTGCCTTTCTCTGAAGGTACCAAGCTGCAAGGCAGCCACTTACAATAGCAATTGCACTCGCTATAGCCTAGGCCAGAGGTGCCTGCCAGCCCCTACACAGCTCTGCTCTGCCAGGCAAACACTGCTGAAGCTGAAGGGCTCATAGGTGAAGGGCAGAAGTCTCCACAAAGCCTACTACTACCTTGATCTTTGAGCTAAAGGAGACTACACTTAGATTACTTTCTGGAATTAGCATCCTTTGAAGAGTAAAAGGGAATGTTAAATTGATAAGGGACTACTCAAATGTATCACTTTTGGCTGACATAAAAGATAGCTACATAAGGGAGTTAAATAATCTTCTAAGGCACTTAAAAAAAGCAGTTAAGACAGCGGAGTGCAGTACAGAAGATCCACAGAAGTGATCAGAAGAACAGGAGACCACTTCAGATGCTGAGGAGATGAGGCTAAACCTAGTTCTTGGATCACACTACAGGTAGAAACTACCTGGATGTTTCTCATCAGTCATGTAAAGATATTTTGTCTAGTACATGAACAGCAACATGCTTCTCTCTCTATGTGCTGTGAAGCATTTAGAAAGAATGACTAAAATACCCAAGAACTATATTTTCAGCATAATTTTATCTATTAAGACTAGAGCATTTCCTGATGAAACATTAATTATTTTTTTTAAATAGACTGCATCAATCATTTAAGTCAAGTGTTGTCACTTCTCAGCTGTTCCTCCTTACTGCTGCCATTTTAAGCACAACCTATGGAAGAGGATGTTAGAAAGAATGCCAACAGTCAGACCTTGGGTAGTGTTACATGGAAAAATTGGTAGTATTGAGCTCCTTACAATACTACAAACCTTTTTAAGGGAGTCACCAGTGTGCCATCACTTCTCATTTGCTTCTCCACCCAGCCCCTGTAGATCCCCATGGGTAAAACCCAAACCAAATCAAAAGAACAACCCAACATTCTTCAACAGGGAAAAAGGCCAGTGTGCCACACTATTGACATCTGACGAGAATTACACTACAAAGTCTTAAAAATTAGTATGAGCTTTGACAAGCCCAATACATCAGTTGTTTGCCTCATCCAACTGTTCTTGACTTTTTGGCTAGTAAAACCGAGTGCATAAGTTTTAATTGGCAGAGGTGGAATTGTGATTTGACAGGAACGAGAAAGGGATGTAAATGTTTGTATGAACATGCAAGCTGGAGAATTTAATCAACTGACTGCCAATAGGAATTTTAAATTACAGTTAATTGAAGTCAACAGATCTCCAACTGATTGTGCAACTTGGCCACGTAACTGAAATACTTGCATTTATTTAACTAGTTTAACTTGTTTATTCTACACCATCACTCCAAGAACAGAGTAACCTTTTAATGCATCCAGGTCTCTAAACTAGTATTCTGCTTAACTCCACATACTCCTTTTGGAATAGCTCTATCATGGTTATGAGACCAAGATGATTATATAAACTCCATTTTTAAATACAATTAATTTTTCCACATAACTTAAAGACATCCCCATCAAATGCTTTTTGTTGATATTCACCATTTATACAGAACTCTGATTACTACTGAAATATGTGCTTTGAAACTACCTGAACACAAATAAATAGAGTGATCAGCCATCATGTATTTTCCTTCTTACTTTTTATATCACATCTAGTTTCCAGTAAGTACGTTAAACCAGGTCCTTCATCCCAAATGCATTATTCATTAGTTGCAACACTAAGTGGAGCCTTGTATCCAAAAGAAGGCTATCATTATGGTAAGAACCACACAAAACATAAATGGTAGTAGTCATTAAGGAAATTCCTCCTGTTTATACATGTATAACTGAAGCAGAATGGTTACGTTACCTGCCCAGGCTCACAGGAGCTTCATGGCTAAAGCTGGGAACTGAACCCAGGTATCCAGGTACCATTCTATCACCTTGCTCACAAACCCGCAGTGAGTGCACCCATGACATATCTAAACTTCCAAAGACTTAATAAATGACAATCATCAATGTTGCAGTTTGGTATTTCAGTCTCTGCACTGTACGGCAAATGATAAAAGTACAGCATAACATCATACTTACCATTGGAGACTTATAGTATCTATGCAGTATGTTAATGAAATCTGTAATTGTTAACATTCCTGTAACAAGTGATACATAAAAAAAAGTTCTTCAGAGATATACTTCACATATGGAACTTCCAGCTATTTTCTCTATTTATACTCACAATACATAATTTAATAAACATTAAATCCATGTAATTAATCCATGTATTGGATTAATCAGCAGAATTACAGAAATTCTCTTTCACGTTGATACAACACTTCAGAATCAAAACACACATTTGAATTAATATTCAAAATGTAACCTATGCGCTCCCCCTCTTCTTTCAGAAGCATGGAAGGAAAAGAGGGGGGTTAGAACATCTTTAGAGGTTGGAGGTCTATCCTTGCCTTTCTCATCATGTACTAGCCAAGTCACGCAGACTCTCAGACCCAAATGAAAGAACAGTATAATCCATTTTCTTGAATGTTACTTATTAAAGAACTTCATTTGATTATTTCCACAGTAATCCTTGATGTCTGTATTGAAATTGGACTTTATTTTAAAAAGATAGTACATCCATACTATATACATTTGAACCACCAACACCAAACTATGTAATATAATATTGATGATTAGTTTAGTTACCTGAAAACATTAATCTTTTTTGAGCTTTCAAGTTCTAAATTTGAGAAGGTGCAATTGCTCCACTGCTTACTACTTTTACATCTAAACTAAAGAAACTAAGAAATGAGGAAGGGAAAAATTAATCTGGAGGTCAGCTTTAAATCACTAGCGCTTTAGCTACGGACAGAAAGTTAAATGAGATATAGAGACACAGTATTCCTCTGACATATTGCGTGAAACTACTGCTCCTCCCTCCTTGGATTTAAAATTATAATTTTTTTAAATTTTAAAATTGCAATGCAATTGATTACATGGCTTAAAAAAGCAATACAAAAGATCTAATGTTTTTCTCCCAACATGAGACATGTGTGTAGCATTTAACATTAGTTCAGGTATTTAAAGATTTAAAGATTTCTCAGTGCACCTTACTGGGAATTAGCAGAGAAAGCCATGCTTGTATTGCACGTACATTAGGACACTGTAACATTAAATTCTTCTTTTTCTAGTTCCTATTTTCAGATTCCCTTTTTGTGACCCTTACCTTTATTTTTAAATACACAGTGAAATGCAATATTGGAGACTAAATTTCAGAAGGTCAGAAGCCTAAAAGAACCATCGTGATTCTCAAAGCCCAGCAACACTATGGAAGCTGGCAACATTTCACTCCTCAGAAGGAGGAAAAGGAAACTCTCCTTGCCAGTGTTATCTCTCTAGGACAATAGACCACGGCCAGCCCCAGAACACCTTCTGCAACGGCAAAGCACCCTGGAAATGCAGGTAATCCTCAATAATGTTAGAGCTGCTTACCTACAAAACTCTGTTTTTTACTCTCCCACAGTGGAGCTGCTCTCACACCATTTGCCACCAAGGCAAAAAAGGCTTTCTTTACCTGCAAAAATAAATGAACAACTAAATAAATCTTTGCTGTTAATTTAGCATAGCAGACACCAATAGAAGGGTTTCCCCAGTTACGAGGAAAAAATGCAATATAAACAGGTAGCTGGTATTCAAAACAGAAGAACCACACACATGAAACAAAACACGTAAGCTTTCTACTGCTAAAACGTTAGAAAAAAAGCTTAGCAAAACCAGATCTGTTTTTGTTTTATGTCAATATCCCATGTGAAAGCTTCTGATGAAGCAGTAAGCAGATACAGCTGAAAAGGTCTGCTCGCTAACCTTAAATTCATTCCAGTTTGATAATATGTATCCATAGAAGTTATAGTGCCCCAAATCATGACATTGAATAAATCTGTAATGAACATAATTATCACCAGTGTCCAGTTTACAGATAGAGCTCAACATTTGAAGACTCTGCTATATTCTCATTAATGTTCACTATAGCAAGAGTTGGAAAAAAAAAAGGATGGAGACAATAAAAAGTTTCATTTCTTTTCCAGCTTTTTAGACTGATGAGTTACACAAACTAAAAGGAATTATTTATTTTAAATATGACTGAAAGTTAAAAGGACTAGCTAGCCTGTTTTGCTGCTAAAGAAATGTAACCAAATCCTTTTAATTTTAATGAATTAACCCTCCCCAATTTCTGGGTCAGAGGTTATAAGGTTATAGAGTCATTCTCAAAAGAAAAGATTCCCTGTGCACACTAACTCTCTGAAGCATGAAGCAGTCAGGCTCAAAATCCTGATCTCTTGGTGATACAGTTGAGCATGTTATTGTTCCTGTCCTGGGCACATCCCTAAATAGCCTTCACATGGAAAACACAATAGAGGTGATGGTTCTCCAGGCCTCGACCTGGCACAAAACTAGGACACAGCCAATCTGCATCTCCACATCCATGAAATTGGTCCTCAGTCCAAATAACACAGAAGTAGGAATTGCAATTGCTTCGTCATTGCAATCTGTACAGACCACAGTCACAGAGTGGTATCTTAAGTGTCTACTTTAAACGATGTGCCAAGGGGTTCCTCTGTACAACACAGTCAGGAATAAAAGGGCTTCACAGTCAATGGAATCAGCATCCAAAAAAGCAGGAGCAAACAAAAATGTAGGTAGAAAAAAAATAAAGTAATTAGCTACAACTTTCTTGGAAAAGTTTACAAAGCCATCCATATGACAGCCAGTGCCATAAGGTATTTGAAAAAACCTCCAATTAACCTCTACTTAGTGCTATAACACAGCAGTGTAGATTTCTAAAAGCTGGTATGACTTCCACTCTGCACCAGAATGCATCACCTGTGTCTACACTGCAGTGATTTGCAGCGAGTGTTTCAAATACCTGGTGCTATCCTACTGTATGTGAACTCCAGTCTTTAACATTAGACTTCTGAAAGCAATCTCTATTTCTTGTCATCTCTATGCAGCCTGACTGCTTTCTCTCTGACTACGAGAAGCAAATCTGCTCTCCTCACCTCAGGAGATGACAGCTCTCAATGCTGCGTCCTGACTTTAGAGATGCTTCTGCCGTATCATCGATGAACGGGAATAACGATCTACTTAACAACCACCACCCCTAAGCTGCATTAAAACTGAAGAAGCCATAGCTGAAAATAACACCCAGGACCACAGATAAGAACTGTAATATACACACCATGAAATATTTATCTAGAAAATGGCTAAACAGAAAGGTCCCAGAGGTATTCAGCCATTTCACTGACACAGGGAGAAGTCAGGTAGAACAAACATTACCAAATCTACCACTGTCACATACAAATTCATAAGGAAAATTGAAACCACAAACAAACCCCCCAGGCAGAGACATGAAGTCTTCCCACATAACAGCATCACACTTCGAGTTAATGCAGCAAAAGCTAACAGCAGCAAGCTATTTGGGGAGCAGATATGAGACAGAAGTGAGTTCACGCAGACTAACTCCACCTTGGGGCAAAGTAAGCAAGTTCTAACCATTCTTCATCAAAAAAGAGAAAAGTACACTCAAACTGCCTGAAACGAGAGCCTTCAGCTTTGCTGTCTCTCCCATCACATGAGCCAACTGTCACTGTCAACTTATGTCCCAAGTCTTCCACAAGAGAAAGATGTTCATGTCATATCAGAGCAATAGGTTAACAGCTAACTTACCAAAACCAAGGGGAAAATAGCTTTCTGCTATTGGTAATCATGCAACAAAACTCCTCAGGTAAGTTTACAAACTCAGTAATTGACAACCTAGAAAGGAAGCATGCCCACAGCAGAGAAGATGTGGAAAGACGATAAGACGACTTCAGGCAACTGCCAAATTCTTGCTCCTACTTCTTTCTCAGACACAGTGGCAGCAAAGAACAGCACCTCGTGCAATGTTCAGATGGGTGAGATGATAAAATTGAGGTATTATTTTAGATCCAGAAATGATTCTTCAAGAGAGACAATTCCAAAGACACAACAGGCAAGAAGTTGAGCTTGTAGGCAATCCAGAAGGTAAAGAAAATTTCTTCAAAGGATCAGTTCTTGCCCCGATTAGTTTTTATTTACTTGCAAGTTATTTGTCCCTAAGTATCTCAGGAATCTTCTCTTAGATGCCATCTTGTCTAGCTTTAAAAGACAGATTTTGGAAAAACTGAGGGCTGCTAAACAGCTACAGATACTGAGATAGCTCAGACTTAAATCCTTCATGAAAGACAATGAGCTTTGCTTGGGTATTGGGATATTAAACATTTGATGTAATAAATCACTAAAGTTTAGTAGAGAAATATTTAAACTCATCCCTCTAGGATGTCCTCCTAGACCACAGCTTAAGCCACATTCCTATTTTCTTCGATTTCATAGTAGAAAGTGTTACACAGTTACCTTTTAAATAAAATAACAATGTGTCATTTCTTAATGCTAATACCTGTCTGTTATTTAAGTAAGGTAATTGCAAAGCAAAAAACCAACTTCATTCTTATTTGCTAAAACTGCTTGCAAGCACAAACATAGGCTCATCCACTCACACTTTCCTTTAGTCTCTTTGGTTTCCTAATTTCAGTTGCCCAAAGTACAGCTTGGTAGCCAGCCAAAGCACTGGGGTGTGGAGCTGGGCTTCTGTCCAGCACATTTAGATGTTTCAGTGATGTTCATGCAGAAAATACCCACGAGGACCTTCCTTTCACATTATATACAGTCTGTAGCCTTTGAAGATTTCCACCATGTCCCATCTTTGGGCCTCCAACAGTGCTGTTAATCCTTGACCACATCAGTGTTGTTGTTTCTCTGATCTTGAGTGCTGGACTGGCTTGACCCTCACAAACCCACAGTTGCTCAGCCAGATCCCATAGATCGCTGCTGTTCAACACCACGTACAAACACCCTTTAAACAAACCCCTTTTGTTCTTATTAACCACATAGTGGTCCTAACAAATACAGTGAGCCATTAAGAATGGGAATTATCTACCCAAATTTAGAGGTTGTTATGACATGTATGCTGATGCTGCTTATTCTCTGCATGTCTTCACAGCCAATTGGGGGAAACAGTAATTTCTGTGGCATGAGCAACCAGCCTTAGGTGGAGATTAAGTTGTATCCCACAGATGCCACTTCCCCTCTCACTGACTAGAAGATGTCTAGACATTTACAATTAGATGAGTAATCACACCTTATGTGACCACTTGTCTTCTCCAACATTCTGCCCCTTGGGTAAAAGGGTCATATCACAGCAAAGGAACACAGGGACTGAAATCCTGGATGTATCATAGATCTCCTCAACAACAGGTGCTATTACACTACAGAGAGCAGAACAGGAACATGCTTTTCTTATTACAGAAACTCATTACACCAACTGTGAATATGCTGAATAAAATAACAGACTAATCTAGGTTAGACAGAACTCCTGGAGATCATCGCTTCTGCAGACCAGCCAAATATTTCCACTGTAAGTCTTAAGGAAGGCATAGCCTCTTCAAATATAAGACATTACAAAAAGATTCAGTTAAACCTATACATAGGAAGTCTTGTTTTTCAGGTAGCAGAATATAAAAAAAAAACCTTGTGCCTTATGGTTAATGGGCTCCAAAACAGCTTGATTACCAGGCGGTGGCACCAGAAACAGTGGTAGCAGACAGAAAATGTCAGCAGACTACAGAAAACATTTTTCCTCACTGATGGGAAATACTGAAAGGGACACTCCTCGTTATGCTACTCCAGACCAGCAATCTCATGAGCCCTTGTGGAAATGCTCTCTCAAGTAAAGATCTGTGAGCAAGGGAAGCACCTGAAAAGGAAAACTGTGGGCGAGCTTGTTTCCAAAACTTGTCTTGTTTTAGTTAACACTATGGTATGAAAACTGTAACTACATGCATAAGTGACCAGAGGGTTTCAAACTTGGCTTCCAGAACTGTAACACAAATAAGAAACATAACTATGGAACTGCCAATACTAAGCAAGAGGATGATGCAAAAGACGAATAGTGTGGACAGTGTTAAAAGATCTCCCAGAACTTCCGTGGCATGGCTGCCATGCAAGGGCAAGAGGATAAATGTGTACCTTTCTTGCCCCATCTTTCAGGGTATTGGCTTTACTTGCTTGAAAAGCCCCTAATGTAACTACAAGAAATGTCTCTATTCTGATCTGATTAAGTAAAGGAAGAAGCTCCTTCTTTTCTTTTCTTTGGCACAGAGCTCCTATAAAAGCAGTGTCAGACCCAGTTGATCCTTGACACTTTCATCCTCTCTGACTCCTGATGGATGGATACTCAAAGATGAGCTAGAACATTCATTGCTGTTTTCACTGGATAACTCCACAAACTCCCAGTCTTGTCTCACAATGATTTGTAAGGGCTACAAGACTTAGAGGGACCACACCTCAAAATTCACGTGTGGGCCACAGTATCAAAACCAAATCTTTCAGGCAATCAATCACTGAGAAACAATATCCCTTCCTAGCATAACAAAACACAAAGTATAATAAGTAGTTGAACAACCTCTGCAAGAAGGTGGCATTCAGTCTTAGCAAATTGGG